CTACAAGCATGTAAGAATGCCATTTGGAGGCATAAAAACGTTAATTTAATTGTCAGTTAAATCTGGCCTAGCTTTGACCGATTGAAGTCAAATTAAAGTCCATCAGTACTTTCTAAGAACCTTGGAGGCCCCCAGTTGCTCCCCATCCGTACCACGAACGAAGTAAACAAACGCGGCAGCATTCCCTGCCTTAGCCTCCGATCCCCGTTGCTTGAAATAGCTTCTTGTGAGATCGCTGAACTCCACTCATAATTGCCTTTTAATACGGCTTTATTCTCAAAATGATTCGATAAAAGACACTAAATCTCTCTTGATTGGCCGAACATGTCACACAAACCTCGGTCTCTCTACCAGAGGTAGGGTCTTCTATCCACACCACTAGGAGCTGAAAGGCAGTGAGTGTACGTAAGCGCAAATTTCTATCGATTGCGGCCAGCTGTTAGTTAGCACCAGTAACTAATGCTTTCGACCCGTTCTCGAGCACGTTTATCGACAGGGATATGCTGTCTTTGCGAAGACACAAAGTCTTCTGGTAATAATCGTGATGAAGGGGAGAATGTTCTTTCTGCGTTCGACAGGCTTTTAGGCGACTCATCATCACCATGATCAGACTGCCTTTCTGGACGGTCTCGGGTGGTTGGAGACGGAGTATAGTTTGGCCGGATTGCATCGCTAGTCGGCGGCGCAGCTGTGCCCATGTCAATCGGTCCCGGCTTGGATGGCCAAGTGAGTGTCCTCACTTTGTGATCGCCCATTCTTGCTTGACACCTCAACACTCTACCCTTCATAGTGGCAGGTATTCGTGGAACGGCCCCACCGGGATCCGAAGCAATGGAGACTAATGGATTTGGCGAAGAAGTCCGTCGACTCCCCATCCTGTCACTCGGATCCGACCGTGCTCGACTTTTGTCTGTCTCGCCGTGACAGGCATCTTCTTTGCCAAAAACCTTCAGCCACACAGAAAATAAACGATATACTAAGCCTCTTTCCGTTTATACTTCGGTTTTGGGGTCTACCAGTAGACCTTACATAAGAAATGTGTTTACCCTATTTCGTTTAAGGTGATGAAGGACAGACTGTTAGTTGAACTTTCCCAAAATCATGTGAGTGTGGCCCCCATTTATATTGAATTTTGCATATCCCTGCTTGCAAATAGGCGTTTTCATACATGCTGGACCGTAGTTCGAGTCCCGATATTGGTGCTGATGAGACACAAGTAAGGTCGAAACTACAGTTCAGTCCAGCCTGGATAAGAATAACTTTTAGGAAGCAAGTATATGTGAAATTGAATGCAAATATGGGGCCTTCAGTATTTTTACACGAAAGAGGGTAAAAATATTTCTTAATACACTAAGCCGAATGAACTGCAACTCACTTCTTATACCTAATTTTGCGATACCACTGATGTGCCCTATGATTTTTTCGGCTAATTCATACCTACCTTAGATGATTGGAGATGAGTGCATCCTTCATTCAGAATTGTCCTACGCCTTGGAGGTATACGTGTGAGGTGGAACACAGGAAATTCGTAGCTGACATACGCCGATTTTTGCAGTCGCTTCTATGAAAGCCTCAACCAAAACCATGCTGGGGACCGCCTATCTCGTCCTCTATATCTGTGCTCATTCTCGCTAATGGACTCAACTATTAATATAGCTAGACAGTCTAGACACACAACCTATGGCAGGAAGAATTACAATTCCACAATGTATTGGAAACTTTAATGTTGATTCCTGCCCTCGCAGGGACTCTGATGACGGTGTTCTTGGAAGGCACTCCCATGGAAAGGGGAATTTCCTCTCTTGTAAGAGCCAGGCATCAGTGCATCTTCACTTAGTGCAGTTGCCACTTAGTCTCAAACAGACATGCTGATATAGAAACTTAGTCGGCTTGGGTAGCTTAAGGTAGTACATGGACTGATGGTTGAGCTTTCCCACTGTCAGATGAGCGGGCTTCAGGATGCCATTGAATTTCCCTCTTTGGTACTTACTGACAACCTGTTGACTACTGCTCTGCAGATGCATGTTTGCCTTGTCGACAACGCCAATGATTTGTTTTGAATATCACGTCGCAACGATACTTACGAGCCCACAACGAATCTCGTATGAGAGTGCATGATACAGAGATTCGTAAGTCGATCTCGTTTTACTTCAGCCGTTTGGCTTTAATACGACATTCAGGTTGATGAAGTCTACGAGACGTCCTCCCTCAATCGGGTGAAAACGGGAAGATCTTTCATTCTTTACGTGAGGAACATCATCTAAACTGGGACCCATCTGTGCAAGTCTTAAGTTGTATAGACAAAGAAAAGGCGAATCTGGTGAGATCGACCCCCGGAATTCTTCATAATGCATTTTCATACTAAATAAAAATCTCCACAACATTGTAATCTCAGGAGACTTATCGAAACTCATTTTTATTGGCATTAATAAATTTCATTAACATCCTGAGGCCTACTCAACTCATTATGGGAAAATTCAACTATCAGTCCTTTAAGACCTAATGTGACTGAGTGTGAATAAAGCTTTTATTCGAGAGTTACTGAATTTTTTAAACCTACTTAGTATGACTACAAAACTGAAAACATATTTTGAAGTTCCCCTCTATGATTGGGCTGAGATGTCGGTTATGCTGTATGGGCTCAACTGCAGGACGCTTCTTGGTCTCAACAAGACAAATAAGCTATCTGCTCACATCCGAATATAATATGGCCACCAACTAAAGTCTATTCCTATTGCATTTCCAATGTTGCAATTTTAGGCCCGAAAGTTATGGCTTAAGAAGGCCATAGTTGTGTGGCTTTATTTCCTTACAGTTTACGGAGTGGAGTTTCACCTGCATAGTGAAAAAGTAGATACTCTTTACTTAAGATATGCTATTTGTCTTTTCGAGGCTAATAAATAATTACTTAATGGTTGATATTTTTCGGTGGCATTTGACAGATCGTGGTATTTGTAGGATTCGTCGGTGATATGCATTTAACAATATGTATGTAAAATTGTTATAACATGCATTTATCTGTAAAATTGGTTTAATCCGTACTTTCGTAGGTATGTGTACAATTGCATGAGTGAATGGTCCGCTTGTTATGTATGAAGTGTCTTCGGGAATAACGCTAATGAAACACCAACGGTTAGGGTCACCGAATTGCTCCAGATCAGTACAATCAAAGGCGATGGAATCTTCAAGAAGTTACAAATTAACATTATGAAAAATACAGGCATTCCGTGAAACAAATTAGTGTAAAAGCTGTGAGGTAAACCAGTAAAAATCATACTGTGGGGCCATATTTTGTCCCACGCCAGTCTATAGAATTGCTAATGCGAGATATGCTCCAACATAATAGAAATGAAGTTAGCTTCTAATTGAATATTTTTGTCATCTTTTTACGCTATCTGTATATCTGTGAGAGAACACAAGTTATCCTTGGATGTCTTGGAGATCCAGTACTTACTATCTGAGCCTCTAATGATTAATTTAAAGCAATGTTGATTGCACTTCCACTTTGCATATAAGTGAGATAAAGAGATTTGTAGGACCATATTACCAAAAAATAAGGCTTATCTTTGGCTATATTCGAACATCTTGGTTGATCAAATATTCGAGCCAACATCTTCGATTTCTGTGAAAGCGTGCTGAGTCTTCGTTTGTCAAACTATTTTGTAGCCATCTTAAGAGCCAAGACATTTCTACAGCTATTTCTAGCTGAGGTATCAATAACAGTTCAAATATTTACAAGAGCTTTCCCAGTTAAGATATGGTTAATAGACTTTCATGAGACAGGAGAGCTTAATACGATTTCATTACAACCAAAGCAGGCTATCTAGAAGACTGGGTCAACCAGAACGTATTAGTACAACCAAATGATAGCTGGCCCAGGGGTCAAATTAAACTAAATATCTCTTAATCACACACTTTCACTCTTAATGCAAGTGAGCTCAATAATTTTAGGTCAAGTCATACATATTAAACGTTACTTGTAATATATTCAACTAATAATCAATCTGCCATTACACTTTCTTCCTGTTTGTTTTCGCAAAATACTTTTTCATCCAGGAATTATTAGCATTCTACCGTACGAAGAGACCTGAGAGCCAACCCCAAAATCAGGCTCTGCTTAACAGAATCTACCTCCTTTAAACATTCTTATATTGATGTTGCTTTATATTACGTTATTCATAAATGCTGAAGCATTATCGACAGAAATAAGCTCATTAAGCACCAGATTTTTTAGGAATTTCTAACATTCTCATTAGTTTACAGAAGGAATATAATTGCAGTTGCATAAAAATGTATCTGAAATGGTGACGAATAACGACTCACAAATTTGCCACTAAGTAAAAATTTTTTACTTATTTCTAATTAATGAGCCATAACTAAATTATAATCAAATTTATTCGATATTACTAGATTGCCACAGGTAGCTGAAAAGTATTATAGTAACTTTTAAAAAGTTAATATGCCCACAAATTAAAAGACAAAATATTCTACCGAAGGTTTGAAGAGCAAGATGGTGTGGTCGTAGTCTCCTTTCGATTTATATAAGTGGGTTGACCTCGCTTTCGCAACTTGGCCCTGTTTTCAAGGAGACTTAGTTGAACGCACCTTGTCCGAAGTCCTCTGCCATAGTATTTATCATAATCCCCAGCATCAGACCGTGGACTTGGTACATTCTGAGACAATTCGCCGTCATCGTAGTCGGCATCATCATAGCCCATGCGTCCAGTTAAGGTGGTTTCCGAGATGACACGCCTACTGATAGGCACGACGATCGGAAGAAAGTTGTGAATTTATCATCATTTCATCTTAATCCCGAAACCACCACGATCCTGGAAAAAGTATTCAACTGTTCACTTCAAAATGACGGAAGCATCCTATGAGACATCCTGGTGGAAGTTATAAATATCTCCGAAAAGTTCCCGGAGGAAACATAACGGGAAATGGAGATGGTGGACAAAGGAGGAGCTACAGTGATATTGGACAAAAGATGGAACATATTCTACGAGACAGGACCGCATATAGTATGCTAAACAAGGACCCAACTATGAAGATCAATGGAATGTTAAGTGACATGCTGAAAGATATGCATAGGAGCGGGAAATTGACGAATGGACAAGAAGGGATGCACGATCACTAACAGCTTGCGGATTACTAAAGATTCACAAAGAAGGAGAATCCCTAATGAGGATAGTCAACAACAAGTATGAAGCAATACATAAATTGGCAAATTTCATATGTTTGAAGATCAAGAAATTAGATGACGGGCTATCAAACAGGGCGGAGCATTCATATGAATTCTCTGGATGAAGGAAAAAACAACACTCTTTACAAGTCTATCAACACAACATAAAATGATGGACAATTTGGATTGTTCAGGAGTTTACTGCATAGTATGCGGCGTCTACGAACAGAAATACATTGGCGAAACTGGCAGAAAAATCGGAGAACGAATCAAGTAAAATCAAAAGCTATGCTGGAAAATGGATACCAAAAGATCAGGACTGGTGGAACACATCGCACAGACTGGACATGAGATCAATTGGAAGGCAACAGAAAGAAGGGCCCCATATGGGGACAACACAAGGAAGCCGAAGATTAGGAAGGCCATTGACATCCTTGGGGAGACAAATCTAATGAGCAGGAGATTGGAGGAAGATAGAGTTAGCGATGATTTTTCTTACTACTTAAGCGAAAACTC